ATTTGTAATATGTATAGCCATACAAATATTGAAATACAATTGATACCCGAGTTCTTGAGTCACATCTTGGCATTTCTTTTGTTATCTTTTAGTTTATTCTCTTTTTCTTTTACTTTTTTTTAAATTTGGATATGTAAAGATTACGTGTAAAGTCCCAGGATTATCAAAACCCAAATAAGTTTTGAGTGTCCACTAAAATATCTCATTTATTGGGTTCATCAAATTAAAAATAATGAAGATTAGATCTTTAGCCTGAATTCCCACTCGGATCTCTTCCCCAAGAAAGTCTGTAATCTATGGAGCAGGACTTATATGTGCTGTTTTACAATAAAACTCCCACACAAGCCAAGACGCGGTGGAGTGATTTTTATGTGTGATGATGCTGATTCGAATTTGAGGGTCCTGTTTGAAATTTAAATTGGCATCCTCACACCATTTAATGAAAAATAAGGAATAAGAATTGAAGCCCCTTTACCCTTCTATAAAACTCCTTATCATGAATTAAGATCATAAACCAATAAAAGTAATGGACACAATTATTTTTCATGAAGACATACAGGCTTCGTTTGGTACACCGTATTAGACTCTGGATAGGAGTAAATAGTCTATGTCAGGTGTTTGGTGTCAACTTGTATTATTTAATTACCTGACTATTTTATACGGGTTGGGCTTTTAATACTCTCCTTACCTGACTAACTAATACAACCCACACACCCCGGTTTAGATAATGCACACTTAATTATACGGCTAGGGAAAAAAACCACACACGTTCACGGGAAAAATCAGACTCTATTTTCTTCTTCTTCTCTCTAGGGTTCTTCTCTACTATTCTTCTCTACATGTTATTTTCTTCACTCTTCTCCAGAAAAATGAACCGGCAAAATAGAGCTTGAACATCTATTTAGCTTGGCCCCAAGCAAGCTAAAACCCCAAATCCTATTATGCAAACTCGCAAATCTTGGAGAACCCAGTTAATCAATTTGAGAACAATTCTATTTCAATTCATCTCCCCTTTATCTCCTGATGCAAACAGAACAAAAGGTTTCTACGAATTCCAAGATATATAATTATTTTGATAATTAATAACGAACGAATTTCCAATTATGAAAGAAACCCATATGATTTGAAAATAAGGGGAAAGAGGTCAATTGACCTTTGTCGTCGATGACAACACAGGGTCTTTCGAACGGTGATGGAAGATGCGGAATCCAGTCCCTCTGTGTCGTCACCATCCCAAGAGACAAGTAGAGGAAACGAAGATGAGGAAGTTAAACTCAGGTTTCATTTTTCTTTTTAAATTATTTTATTAATATAAACCCCAAAAAAAAATATTGTAATATGAATCTTACCAAAACAAAATTCGTGTTATTTGAATTTCAATTTCCACTTAAATTATCCCCAAAAAAAAAATTAAAACAAATAGTCTAATCCGATGTTATCGCGAACAGCATCAAACACAGTATAACTTAGTCGGACTATTTATCCAGAATAGCACCAAACACCTTCTAATATTATAGATAAACAGTCAGTACTCTCCGAAACAGATTAATACTATCCGACAGAAATTAGTCAGTACAATCCGATGTACCAAACGAGCCCACATAGGCAAGTGGTATTGTATGGTAAAGTTATTTAATTGGTTATGGGTTCAATGCTGCTTAATGCCATTTTATGAAGAATTTTTTTTAATTTTGAAAAATTAAGTAAAAAAACCACTAAATCACACAAGTAGGAATCAAACCAACACCCCCTAACAAGTACAAAAGGGTGACAAAACCAACAATAGGTGCACAAACGCATAATTATTTTGTGCACTCACATAATGGTAAATAACACCACGTGAATGCATAAATGTGGGAGAGACGGAATATAATAATTATATCATGTAGCAATAAAAAGACAATTAGCCATATTATTGGTAATGTATCAACTTCACAAACGTCAGCTAGCCGTCTCTCTCTGCATTTATCTGTACTTTTCTTCTGTTATTTTCGCTAACCATATTGTTCATTTTCAAGTCCAAACCAATCACCACACGATTTAAATGCAGTTCTTTTCCTTTTTAACTTGATGTGTACAAATCAAACCGCGAGAATTAAGTCTATAAATCTAGTTGTCCACGTGCAGCTTACTGAAGGAGACTTGGGAAGGCAAACTCAATTATTTTAAGTTGATCACACTTTACTCTAACATTAAGCTTTTGTAGAATATAGTAAAATATACCTTAAAAATCTTTTCTGGTTGTCTCTTTCCCAAGCAAAGGTACAAAATCAAATATTTGCAAGTAACACTAATGCTAATCTTACCCCCTCTGTTTTTTCTATCAAATTGTTTTGCAAAGACGAGCCACTCGTGCAACCCTTATATGAATATCAATGTATATTTATTTATTGTTTGCTTTTGAATGTAAACTTCCTGATCATTTCCAACCAAATTCCAAAATGAATTAAAGAAACACGTTTTCATGATCTTTCTGGATATGGATTACTCGAAATTCAAGGTTCGAAGAGCTTCCATATCCAAACAACTTTGGAATGCCCCACTCCTCCTTTAATTTTTGCTATGAATTTGACCAATTTTTGATAATCCAAAATTGGTCGGTGCCGGTGGTGCATGGAAGGAAGGAAATGCCAAATGAATCTATCTTTGATGCAAAAAAAAAAAACCAACTTTGAGATGACATCTTACCCAAATAACAACATGAATTTGATACAAAATTTTGGAGGCATTTGGTAAGTTTAATAATTGGTGCAAGACGTGACAACATAACCCACGCCATGTAATAGCCCACTCTGCCTCCACATGTTTATCACATTGAATTAAGGACGCAAAAGATGCCTTTGGTCCCCTCCCCATCTTCTTTCAAATGGTTTCCCATGTACAAATATGTCCCTTTAAACTTCTTGAAATCCAATCTTAAGTTCTTAACCTTTCTATGATGAAAAGAGCAACAATGGCTTCATTCTCTCCAAAGCCCTCGAAGCGATACAATGTTCGATCTATTAGTTTGCCTGTTAGATCACATCCCAGCACACTCAAAACAGAAGAAGAGTTGAACAAGCTCAAGGCTTGGGAGGCAACAACAACATCAGAAGCAAAGGGAGATTCAATATGCAAAGGGCTAGGTGGGCTTAAAGACTTGTACATTTGTATTGAGGATCTTCTTCAATTGCCAATGACTCAACAGGCTCTAGCCCTGCATCAAAATGAGAGATGGGTTGAGGAATTGCTGGATGGTTCTGTCAAGTACTTGGATGTCTGTGGCAGCACAAGGGATGCCATTTTGGCAATGAAGGAAAGTGTTAGAGATCTTCAATCTGCGCTTCGACGAAGAAAAGTTGGAGGAGATTCAAGCCTTGAAGACACTTTGGGTTCATATACATGCATCAGGAAAAAGACCAACAAGGAAATTCTGCAGCTTGTAGCATCATTGAAGCAAATGGATCACAAGCATGAAGCCTTCCCTTTGGATGTAGACAACCATCTTGCCGCGGTGGTGAGGGTGCTCAGAGAGGCAAGTTTGATCACCAGTTCTGTTTTCCAGTCACTTGTTTCTTTCCTCTCCACACCAGTTTTGAAGCCAAGGCCTAGCAGATGGTCTTTGGTTTCAATTTTGGTGCACAAAGGGGTTTTGAAGTGTGAAAACAATCAACATAAAAGCATGAACGAGCTGGAAAATGTAGATATTGCAATTGGCAACATGCTTGTGAACCCAGCAAGTGAAGATATTGAGGCTGAGAAGATTCAATCTGCACAGAGAAGATTGGAGGTTTTGGATTCAAGCATGGAAGGCCTTGAAAATGGTTTGGAGGGCTTGTTTAGGCTCTTGATCCGCACCAGAGTTTCTCTCCTAAACATACTTTCTCATTGAGATCATCATATCCCAATGGTGGCATGGGATCCGAATTTTAGAGGATCTACAAAAATATATTGTTCTTCACCAATTTGTGTAAATCTGAATTTTCATGTGCTCGTGTATAAATGTATATATAATACAAGCTGAATTAAAGTCTCAATCTTTATGGTTCTAGTGCTAGAAAGTTTTCAGATGTATTCCCAAATCCATGAGAATCGAAACGTATTCTTTAGATTGTTTCGATTTTAATCCAAACGTTACAATTGCTCTGAAAAAAATCCAATTACCATTCAAATCTAATATGGTTAGCTATATATATGAATCATGAGCTCAATATCATAATCTGATTATAGTCCAAATCTAATAATCTTGTTTTTATTTCAGCAATAACTCACCAATCAACAAATCAAATATATTTGGCCCAAAAAAAAAATCAAGTATGACTATTTCAATCCTATATGACACAACATTTATTTACTTTTTTATTTATTAGATCTAAAAAGAAGCTGTTAGTAATAAGCCACAAATAACTACTGTTTTTATTTAAAAATCCCAACATTAGTGGGACATTTCTTCCTCTATTATTTTACTCACATATTCAACAACAACAAAAAAAGATAGAAGAAGTTCATTACTCGTTCACACAAGTTTAGAGTTATACCGAAAGTCAAGTTATTTTTGCATATGCCTCAAGATGGATCAGATTTTAATATAATTTTGATCCAAATCTATATCTATATCTATATGTATATGTATATGATTACAATAAATTACAAAAACATAATATGATATATGAATAATTTTTCGGTGTGATCATCAGATCATCACAGTGTTACTAATTACTTACGTTATGACACAACTCGTGAACTAATAACACTATAAACTTGTGTGAGTGTGACCACACAAAAAAAAAAAACCCCATTAATGACAAAGAAATCGAACAACAACACAGACAGCATTCTCTTTTTTTCTCTTTTGTTTTTTGCTTTTTGCGAGATTGTAGTTGCAGCACACCGACTTTGTCATTGGATTCTTCTCTCACACGATCCAGCTCTCTCCCACGCGTCATATCCCAACGGCTATATTTTCCTTTTAGAGGCCCATTTATAATCCCAAGATCCAACCAGTCAGTAGAAAGGTCGGTAACCAAGTGGGCCCCTCAAAGGGATCTCAAATATAATTAATTTCTAATTCTATGAGTAAGCTTTCCCTCTTCCAATTTCAGTAAGCCAAAAAAAAGTTCCAATTCAGGCTACCGTTACTCCCTATAAACCCAACCCACCAAGGAAGCTGTGCTTCAGTCTTAGGTCTCAGACTCAGACACACTCTCTCTCAGACCATGACTGTTGCTACTGTAGCCACAACCCACACCAAGAAGCTCGTGAAGCTCGGCCGGTCTCTCTTCCGCTGGGGATTTAACTCCTCCAAATGGTACATTTTTCTATCTCTCTGCCGTTTCCCTTTCTGGGTCTCTTAAAATTTTAATTTTTGGGCAACTTTTCTGTGTTACTTTAACTAGTTCCTATGTTTGGTTGCCGAGAAAATGTGGGTAGTAGGTGTTATTGAGTCCCAGATGATGAAAAGTTGTTAAAGCTGAAATCTTTGTTCAATGGTTGCTTTTTCTCGGCAGTTTAACGGGGTGGGAATAGGAGTTTTAGAGACCCAGATAGTAAAATTGTTAAAGTTGAAATCTTTTGTTCAGTGTTTGCATTTTCTCTGCAATTTAACATGATGGGAGTTGGTCTTTTGCTGAATGGTTTTCGTTTTTTGATGGGGATAAATGAATTGAATAATGAAACAGCAAAATGCAAGCGAAGATGGCGGTGGCTAGGATAAAGCTACTGAGGAACAAGAGACAGGTGGTGGTGAAGCAGATGAGGCGTGACATCGCCTTGCTCCTCCAGTCAGGTCAAGACGCCACTGCTCGAATCCGGGTACTTAACACTTTTTATTATTCATTTAGTTATCATAGTAATCTAAAGTTCATGGCTTTTGGTCTCTACTCTAAAAGCATGTCAGCAACTCTGTTTGTTTGGAAAAACAGCCCACTATAGTTTCTACTACTTCGTTTCTATTCAATTATCAAATGCCTACATGTTTTTGGACTATTATGTATTGTCTGAATGGTTTACCCTGACAGTGATTAGAACAATTTCCTCTTCGATTTGTTTGTTTGTTTATTTATTTTATTGACACTGTTGTGGGTAGACAGCATCATCTGTTTTATAAATTTTTAAAATGTCCCTTCAAACGGCTGCCCAAGCTTGTGGATGTTGATTTCTCTTTTTTTATGTGAATCCGAAAATATTTTAGTTTTCGTATAGTACCCAATGTTCTGCTTATGCTGAAATTTGTTGTGGAGTCAACATTTGTGATCTGGAATGTGGCACTAATTATAAATGATTTTTTTGTTCTGTAGGTTGAACATGTGATCAGAGAGCAGAATGTTTTGGCTGCAAATGAGTTCATTGAGCTTTTCTGTGAATTAGTAGTGGCCAGACTTTCTATCATTGCAAAGCAAAGGTAATGATATTGTAATATCTTTGATGCATTTCACAGCTATCTTAATCCCAATGCTGATCCAATTTGTTACAGGGAATGTCCAGCTGATCTCAAAGAAGGGATTGCAAGTTTAATGTTTGCATCCCCAAGGTGCTCTGAGATTCCAGAACTAGTGGAGCTTCGGAATATTTTTGAGAAAAAATATGGAAGAGATTTTGTATCTGCCGCTGTTGACCTACGACCCAGCTGTGGTGTAAACCGCATGGTAAGCATGATCTTCCTGTCATAGCATTCCTGTCATAGCATTTCTGTTAGTGTTATTAGACCATACATTTTTGCTTTAGAGTTGTAGATTTTTAATCAACTATTTGAATTTTCTGATTACCCCTACGGGTGAAGTAAAGTTGAAACTCCTGAAGGAGATAGCCAAGGAATACCATTTCTGATTTCAGTTCATATTTTTATTTCTGTGAATGATAGTTGAGTGCTTATGTTTTTTTACAGCTGATTGACAAGCTCTCTGTTAGAACCCCTACGGGTGAAGTAAAGTTGAAACTCCTGAAGGAGATAGCCAAGGAATACCATTTCTGATTTCAGTTCATATTTTTATTTCTGTGAATGATAGTTGAGTGCTTATGTTTTTTTACAGCTGATTGACAAGCTCTCTGTTAGAACCCCTACGGGTGAAGTAAAGTTGAAACTCCTGAAGGAGATAGCCAAGGAATACCATTTCTGATTTCAGTTCATATTTTTATTTCTGTGAATGATAGTTGAGTGCTTATGTTTTTTTACAGCTGATTGACAAGCTCTCTGTTAGAACCCCTACGGGTGAAGTAAAGTTGAAACTCCTGAAGGAGATAGCCAAGGAATACCATTTCTGATTTCAGTTCATATTTTTATTTCTGTGAATGATAGTTGAGTGCTTATGTTTTTTTACAGCTGATTGACAAGCTCTCTGTTAGAACCCCTACGGGTGAAGTAAAGTTGAAACTCCTGAAGGAGATAGCCAAGGAATACCAGGTTGAGTGGGATACATCAGAATCTGAACAGGAGCTTCTCAAACCTCCAGAAGAGCTTATTGTGTGTTCCTCTCTCTCTCTCTCTCTCTCACAGGTTATATTCAAGAAATTTCCCATTTTAAGATTTCTGTTTACTGTTATTTGAACAGCAAGGACCGAGCAATTTTGTTAGTGCTACCAGCATGCCTTTGCAGGCTCAATCTGTCGAGCCTAATAAGCCAGACACCAGGTAACTTGGCTATTCTACGTATCTCATTGTAATTTAAACTCGACCATAGTTTGATTTCCCATTTATCATATTTCTATCATTCTCTCTTCCAGTTCACGCAGAACAAGTGGCGGTGGAGAAAGGGGATCCGTTCAGCCCAATAAGCCAGGCACCAGGTAACTTGGCTGTTCTACTAATTGTTATTTAAACTCGAGCATTTTGATTATCCATTAATTATATTTCTGTCATACTTTCTTCCAGCTTTTCACGCAGAACAAGTAGCGGTGGAGAAAGGGGACATATGCATTTTGCAGACTCGGCCTCAGCTGCTGAAGCAGCTGCAAAATCTGCAAATGATGCAATGGCTGCTGCACAAGTTGCTGCATATCTGGCCAACAAAGACTTCAGTCAAGCACCTCAAGTTCCTCTAAGCGTCAATAATGGATTTGGAACCCCTTCTGGCCATTCCACTGGCCACTTCATGCCAGATGGTCCACCAGTTGATTCTCAGAATATGGATCACCAATCTCAAGCTTGTGGAATTGATAGGTCTCATTCTTCAAGAAATGAGGAAACAGTGCTTAGCCATGGAGATGAGAAGAAATTCGTCTACAGGAGATACAGCTATAATGCCCCATCAGAACATTCAGATATTAGGTTTGATGAATCAGACTGTGATGAAGAAGTTGAACTGGGGGCACCTCCTAGTGGCTTTCATCAAGCACCTGAGCGTCCTCCACCACCCCTACCTTCAGCAGCTACGATTTCTGGAGTTCATCCGAAATTACCGGATTACGACGCACTTGCTGCCCGCTTTGATGCCCTTAAGTTTCGCAAGCCAACCTAATGTCTAGATTTTGCTTCTGCGTCAGTTTTGGCTTGCTTGTATAATTCATATATATACATATTTCGAATCACAAACCAACATTATGTCTAAATTCCTTGTGCACCAATTTTGGGTTGCTTGTATAATTCATAATATACATGGTGGATGCTTGTCATTCTATCATTTTGATACTAAATAATATTCATGGCAGAAGTTTTGTATGTTGTCCCTTTGTTGTTCAACTTCGTTCTTTCACAGTAAACCTTTTGGCTTCTGATTTTAACGCTTGTACAGGCTCAATAAATCAAATACTAAGGACACAAAATAATAAAAACCGAAGGCTTT